GTCTGAATGTCTGTGTCCCCCTAAATTCATATGTTGAAAACCTATCGTCTGAGGTGAGGGTGTCAGGCGGCGGGGCCTGTGGGAGGCAGTTAGATCCTCAGGCTCCGCTAACAGGATTAGTGCTTTTCTAACAGAGGCCCAGGAGAGTTCCCTGCCCCGTCCTCCACACTCCATCATCCTCCATGCCCCGTCCTCCCTGCCCAGTCCTCCACGCCCCGTCCTCCATATGAGGATGCAGGAAACCTGTGGCACCCTGAAATTGGACTTCCGGCACCCAGAACTGTGAGCAATAAATTTCTGCGGCTTTGAGCCGCCCAGTCTATGGCACTCTGTTCTACTACACAGTTCAAGGACACGAACAGAAAACAGGTAGGGACACAAGACAAGGAAAACCCAGAAGGGTACATCCTGAGAATCATAAGGGATCCATCACCAAAGTCCTCGCTGACACCCAAAAGGGGACCCAGAGGGCCCCTGTGCTTTCCCATTATCTTTAGAAAGGACAAGGTGCCAAGACACCATCTCGGTCGACAGTTTTTAAGTTTAAGAAGTATGTATGTATCTATTTACTTACTTATTTATTTATTTATTTTTTTTGTGAGGAAGATCAGCCCTGAGCTAACATTCGTGCTAATCCTCCTCTGTTTGCTGAGGAAGACCAGCTCTGAGCTAACATCTTTTGCCAATCCTCCTCCTTTTTTTCCCCAAAGCCCCAGTAGATAGTTGTATATCATAGTTGCACATCCTTCTAGTTGCTGTATGTGGGACGCGGTCTCAGCATGGCCAGAGAAGCGGTGCAGCGGTGCGCGCCCGGGATCCGAACTCAGGCCGCCGGTAGCGAAGCGCGAGCACTTAACCACTAGGCCATGGGGGCCAGCCCTACAAAGTATGTATTTAAAATAAGTTCACGGGCCAGCCTGGTGGCGCAGTGGTTAAGTTTGCCAATCTGCTTTGGCTGCCCGGGTTCGTGGGTTTGGATCCTGGACGCAGACCTACACACAGCTCCTCAGGCCGTGCTGTGGTGGCGTCCCACAACCAAAGCAGAGGAAGATGGGCACAGACGTTAGCTCAGGGCCAATCTTCCTCACCAAATAAAAAAGAAAGAAAGAAGTTCTTGAGAAGTATTTAAAATAAGTGAAGGACTGTGACCTGCTGGGCCCAGAGAGACAGACGCAGCCCTCGGGTCTCCTTCCTTCCAGACAGTTTTGGGTCTCCCTTCTGTGCTGTCTGAGGGGTCTCAATCACTCACTGGATCTTGACACCCCCTCTGGTGTGTCCCATTTCCTCCATGGGACGAAGTCCCACTGAGCCCCCTCTCACCCCGACTTTCTTTACACCTGCCCTCTGTCTCCCCCAGGCTGGTGCGGGGACCTGCTTCTCCCTTCAGGCTGGCCCAGAACCCACCTCCTCCCCACCTCACCAGGACAGAATCAATGGCTCCTCATCTGCATTGTCCCCGCACCTTGGGTAAACAGACCTGGACTGGGCACTGAGCCCATTATGGTCTCATTAAATGTTTACCTGTCTGTCTGCCCCAGCTCAGAGCAGGAACCCAGTGAATGGGGACAGCCCAGGGGGAACCAGACATTACACTGTAAACAGAAGGAGGGGGCTGGGCTCACAGGGACTGGCAATTCCTGGCTGGGGGACCCTGGACTGGACACACCCTCACCTTTTGAGAGCCCAGTAGGAAGGGCAGTCGTGAGAAAGAGCAGACGCTGCATGCATGGTATACAGTAAGTGCTTACTAACGGGAAGCCATCATTCAGTGAGGCTGGCGCTCAGGAGCGGTGCACACCCACACTGACCACCTCACGTCAGAGCTGGGATTTTCCTGATGCGTCATCGTGCATGGGAAATCCGGCAGGTCTCTCTGACCTCGCCTTGATAGAGCCTCTTCTGAGCTCCAACCCAGACACACAACTGTCATCTCTCAGGAAAAAAAAGAAAATCAAGAACTCTCCATCTCACATATCTTTATCACAGTGACTCTCCGCAAATAGCCAGATGGCACTTCTCTCTTTACTCTAAAGCTTGCACTTTCTCCGGGTCTGGAGGACTGATGTCTTCTCCCACCTCCAGAAAAACAGGTTTACCACGCAGTGCCCGCAGAGGCCCAGCGAGTGTTTTGTGTTGTCACATCCTAATATTGACACTAGGAAAACCAGCTGCCCTCCTTGAGCCAGCGCCTGTGCCCTGACCACCCGGCCTGGCCTCTCTCCCGCCTGCCTCGAGGCCAACGAGGAACTCGGGCCCAGGACTCATTTGCTTACATTCTGTACTTCTCCCAGGGCCCGGCCCCAACCAACCAGTGGAGGACAAAGAGACGAGAGAGCTGCCGCTCATGTCCACCCCAGACCCACTGCAGGCTTCCTGGTGGCCGCCAACAACAAAACCCGAGCGTGCCAGGAACTTCCTTGAAACCTCTCAGAATTGTTCTGGGCAGAGAGAAAAACAGCCGGACTCTCGTGGGATCCACTACGTCCCCAGCAGAGGAAGCAAGAAACCATTAATTGTCTACGAACTTAATAGGTTCACTAAAAACAGGATGCTTTCCAGGGAGAGGGGAAAACACCTCCGAGGTCGGCATCAAGACTCTCTGGTGGACAGAGCCCTTCCCCAGTTACCCCCCTTCCATTTATTCGAGAGACGTTCAGGAGAGAAAAAAATGGGCCGACATTGCTCTGGGGTTTCTCTGCAGCTCAGTGAGTCCAAGGGCTTCTATACCTACTGACCACCTGAAACTTTCAGTAATTAACATGCTTTCAATCCTCTATCCAGCTTCTTCCCAGCATAGCCAGGGTGTGACAGGCACTGGGGATACTCCAATGAATGTAACATTTGGTCCTCCTGTTCACCTGCAGCTGCAGGCTAGTGTAAGTCCCACCAAGTGAACACAAATGGATCCTTTCACACTGTCTTCAGTGTCCCGAAAACAGTAAAATAAGGTCCTAGGACAGAGGAACTGGTGGGAGAAGGAGGGCTGCAGCTTTAGATGGAGTGGTCAGGGAAGACTTCTCAGAGGAGGCGTCAATAGAGCTGAGACAGCAAAGAAGGATGATGAGGGTGACACCCACAGGGACTGTGTAAGGGTATCCCTCCGTTTGTTTTAGGCCTCACACCATCCCATGGAGGGCCTCACAGTATCCCCAGTGCCTGGAGAAATATCCCTGCTGAGATAGTACCACCAAAAAAACGATCACCTGGCAGCCATCTTAGGTTGATTAACTATGCTCCTGGCCCTGAGGACATCCTGAGGCACGGCTGAGAGCCCACACCCTGGAAGCCGGTCTCCCCAGACCTGTTAGATATTTTAAACCAAAAACAAGCAAAAATAAACTTGTACAACCTAAAGTGGTAAAACTGGAGAAGCCACAGCTAAATCAACCGGTGACAGCCCTGTGACCTTGAGGTTCAGAAGATGGTGGGAAATCCCCAAATCCCAGAGTGAGAAGGAGGGGCGGAGTGGAGAAGGGATGACACGGTGGGAAGAACAGCCAGGTGCTAACACCAGCATCCAGGCCCAGCAACTCCTCAGACAGACCCTTTAAGGAACAAGTGCAAAACAGTACCAAAACACACCCAGAATGTCCTGCTCCTAATAACTTCTTCCAGAGACATGCCCAAAATAAGTAGAAATAAGGATAAGTCTTAACTCCAGGGAAGGCAGTAACAGCCACCAACACTTGGGTGGTGGTGTCCACACCTGGGGGGAAACCTCACAGACCCATTTTCCGGAATGAGCAGACTGAGGCTGGAGGCGGAGTAGCCCGTCTAAAACAACACAGCTGGAAAGGGGCTGCGTGGAGAGCTCTGGCTCTGGGCTTTTAGCTCAACAGCGCTTACGTTGCCTCCTGGAACTTAGGCCTCAGTTTCTCCACCTGTAAAATGAGGCGGCCAGCACAGAGCTCAATCGTCTGTCCCCCTTCTAAGGTGGGAAGGACAAACTGATAACGCTCCCTTCCTGGGGAGCCGGAGCGAAGCTTATGGAGAAACCCTGGATCAAGGGACCCGCACAGCAGGTGCTCCAAAAATGTTACAACAGCAGCAGCAGCAGCAACAACGTCCCGCCCCCCGGGGTGGCTCATTCTAACGAAAATTAGAGTAACAATTAGCGGTTTACGAAGCGGTTCGCACCCACGAGCACAGAGCGTAAGGAGCCGCGAGCCCCCTGGGCTTGTTGTGGCCGCGGGGCGGGCGGCGGGAGCCTCCCGGTCACCGGCTGGCACGCGCCCCGCGGCCATTCCAGCGCCGAGCGCGCGGCCGGCCCGGC